TAGAGGGATCAGGAAAGATACCTTCACCATGAGGATGGTCAAGTAGAGCAACATTGCCCAATGAGTCTGTGAAGTTTTCTGCTTTTTATTTTATTATTCTTTTGAACAGGAGGATACACGGCCTGGGGATATGGGATGCTAAAGCATGATTACACCAGGATCAGAGACTCAAGTATCACTAATTATGTGATACTTTTGCAACATCCACAAGAAATATAAGTGATCATTTCCTAGGGATCCTCAAGGCCAAAAGCTGAATAGGATGAAACTAATGCCAGAGGTGCTCCATAGATCACGTAAGTACAAGTCCTCAGGGGTCTGGCTTTCCTGTCAGAGGGATATTCTGCATACATCTATCCCCTAAAAAGCAGTTCCAGTGCAGCTGGTGTTTTTATTGGTATGGTACAATTCCCACTTAGGGCCTATGGGACATCACCTGGGGCTCATTTGTTAACAATAGGATTCACAGAATTTCACCTTCAGCTGTCTACAAATTAGACCCCTAGAGCTCAATTTTTCTTTAATAAATGCAGGAATCAATGCCATTTGAGTTGCCCTGGAGTATCCAACATGGCCCAGGTTTAGGAAAGTGAATATAGGCCTTAAAGTGGGATTCAGCTCACAGATCCATTCTTCTAAGCTTAGGGATCCTTAGCTGAGTATCTGGATGCACCAGACTCCTACACTTGTAGTGTTTAGAGCCCTTGAAACAGCCTAGGAGAGCTGGAGGTCATAAATGCCCTATTCATCCTGCATCATGTCTGCAAGCCCTTGGAATCACCGAATTGTTTTGGTTGGAAAAGACCTTTAAGATCATCGAGTACAGCCATCAACCCACCACTGTCCTTTGCAGGGGCTGCAGTTAAACAGTCAGCAGGGTATCCTTGGGCACTGGGGGCACTACTTGGAGTCTCTACTGAGAAAACTCCCTTTTGCTCCTGTTATCTCTTTCAGTCACTGGAAAGTCAGCAGCACCTCCAGACAGGTCCCTCAATGCCTGGTCTTTAGCACACTGCTTCATGAGGGAAAAATGCAGGATGCATTTTGTTACCCTGACTGGTGGAGATGGCTACAGGGTAAAGCAGCAGCTTGTGTCTGCTGGGCTGAGGATCCTGAGCAGATGCATTGGTATCTCAGCATTTGGTATCTCAACAGCTCTGTGGCCTGTGTCAAAGACACCTCTGTGGGATCACCATGGCCTGAAACAGCTCCTGTGCTGTTGCACTGATCAGTACAGCACCTTCCTCTGTTACTGCTGCTGCAGTAACAGGTCTGTTTAGTTAAGGTTTCTTCTGATTCCCAAATCAATTCTCTTCTCTAATAGGCCCCAGGTATCCTCAGGTGCCACTGACTCTTCTCTGCTGCCTCCTTCAAAGCCACAGGGCTTGGACACGCATGTGCACCAATGAAAGCAGCTGTGTCTGTTCAGAGGAGGATGGTGAATGAAAGGGTATTTTACCTTCACACATGCCCCCTATTGATCTTTAAATAATATATCACATATAAACAAACATTCACTGCCCTGTGCTTCTACACTAAATTGACAGCTCTATCTGGGTGAAGAGGCAGGACTCAACTACTAAGATTTCTTTAGGTGTATTTATTTTATTGTTCAATTTAGGCTTTTGGAGATGGGAAAACTTCTAGTTATGCTGCAGAAAGAGAGGTAATGTCTAAAATTCTCCTCTTTCACACACCTAGATGCCAGAGGAAGGATAAAAGGGTTTCTGGTTTAACTCTGTAAGAGTCTGCTTAGCTACCATTTTGTTAAAGATGTGGTAGCCCCAGGTGGCTGGGGCTGAGAGTAGGACAGAGAGCTCTGATGCATTGACATGGATCCTTAGGCATATTTGAGCACACCAGCAGAATCCCAGATGGGATGGGAAATGTGACATTCCCATGTACTGATAAAAGACAGGAAGGATGGCCCAGCCCATGGTTGGCTAGTTTGACATTAATTTGGCAAAAGAATGGACATATTGATATGGGTATAAACACATTAAAGATGAGGTAAACAATTAATGCCAATCAACATGTTTTTTAAGGAGGAAGGGTTGTCAAACTGGATTTCATTCTTTGATGTGATTGTAGGTTTTGGCCGATAAAAGTAATTGCAAAGATGGAATATATTCTGACTTTTGTATGTTTGACAGCACAACAGATTCTGATTTAAAAATTAGCATTCTACCCTATCAATACAAGGCACATAAAATGGATTAAGAATGGGCTGACATGTCAACAAAGAAGCTGTCAAAGGAGACTCGCTGTAGGAGAGTGGGTTTTTTTAGAGGGGGTCTGAATGCTATTGAATATTTTCAATAATGACTTGGAAGTAAATATCAAAACTGCTGATAACATTGGAAACTGTTGGAGGGGACTAGGAGTTACACAAAAATGCTCTCAGTGTGGTTGTAAGGAAGCTTTCAAGTGGAAGAACAAGCAAGCAGACCACACACACAGGAACCTGGAGCTCCATGCATCCCAGAGGGATTTCAGCATCCTAAAGGAGCAGTCCCAAATAATTCTGCTAATGTGGTGTTTTGTGGCTTTTGCATGTTATTTTTGGAGGGGCTGATGCTATCCCTGGCTGTGTCATTCAGAGGAGTAGAGTAGGGATGAAATTTTAAATTTCTGCATGTGGAACCACTTGATGTTGAAATGGCATATCTGGCTCTGGTAACCCAAATTTAGAAAGAATGTTGGGGAAAAAAGAAAAAGTCACAGAAATAAAGCACACAAATTATTGAGGGACTAAAAAACCACTATTGTGTGTGGATGCTTCCAGAGTATGATATATTTATTTTATGAACAAGGGATGAAAAGCAACTTGAGAGCTGCTTATGAGTGCCTTTGGGGGCAAATGGCAGATGCAGAAGGGCTCTTTAATGTAGCAGAACTGAGCAAAGCCAAAACCTACAGGGAAAACATCTGCAGAAGCAAGGGCAGGGATTCAGTAGATCATGCACCTCTGGGGAGTGGTGGACTTTACCCCAGCGCCCAGTGCCTTCAGACTAAGATTGAAATATTTTGGTTGTGTATTTGCTGACCAAACATGGGGTGAGGGAGAAGCTGTTGACCTGCATGTGAAAGCTGAGACTTGCTGGTTTACTGTTCCCCTCTAGCCAAGACTGAAAGCCATGGTGCAGTGAGGCTGACAGCTGAAGGGGCTGATGGACCCACCAGTTTCTTTCCTACAGGGCTTCATCTTTGCTCTTCCTCCTGCCTTTTTCCAAATTCCCTCCCTCCCTCCCTCCCCTCTGTGGTCTCCATCCTGAGGCTCGGGAGTGAAGCTACACAATGCTCAGAGCGAAGCTTCTCAGCTGCTGGTCGGAGGGACAGGAGACAATGCTGAAAATCTTGCCTGGTGTGTTCTCAGACAGGTTTTCAGAAGGGAAAACGCCAGAAAAACTTTGTGCCAGAAGTCAGCCCACCTTCCAAACTGACACTGTCTCCTTTTGCTGGCAACTCAGGAATTTATGCATGTCCTGTGAGCGAGATGTCCCCAGAGCAGCCGGGGAGGCTGGGACATCGCTCCCTGAAGTGCCATCTTGAGGAAACAAGTCTCTAAGATTCAAATGCTCCTTTGTTTATGAAATAAAGTCCACCAGACCTATTGCCAATTGTTTATGCTAAAGAGCACACTCCCATTAATGCTAATGGTTCTTTGGAGCATAAATCCTTGCTAATTGATATAGGAATGTATCCCAGAAGAGTTTACTTTACTGCTGATTTAGCTGATAGATATAAATGTGTGAGAGGGAAATATTAGCATTCATGTAAAACAATTAGGTTATCAACAGGGGCAAATGATTCAGAAAATGACTGCAACTTTCCAGTTCCCTTTAATGGAAAAAAAAAAAAGAAGAAAGTCTGCAAATGAGGAAAATCAGAGGGAATACAAATATGAGCTAATAATTGTGATTATTTAATATTTGTGTTACGTCAGCAGCCCTTGAAAACCAGGGCAGGGTTCCCCCCTGAGCTCTGTGCTGATGTGGGATGGACAGGACCATCCTGCTGCCCACCAAGACAAATCTACCCTGTGACCTCTCTGGTGGAGCAGTGCTTTTGGCTTACAAGGCTGATGCATCTGGCCACTGGATGTTGAGCTCAGTAATGTTTACTAAATATGCATGAATAGAAGGATACAAGCAGCAGATAGATTTCCACAATTTAATTTTTTTTTTCAGATAATATAATGGCATATGAAAAGTGAGGCAGTAATGCAGTTCAAAAGAAAAAAAGAAAGCAACCCCTCTCCCTCCCCTCCCCTCATTCTCCTGGATCTTTCTGCCAAAGGCTGACATTATTGAAGATTGATAAATACAAGAATTATGGCCATTTCCATAAAAATCAATTGTTTAAAATCTACAATTTTGTGGCAAATATACAGCCATTGAAGGAATAATTTTTATCAGTGTACTCAACAGTTTTACCTATTCAATTCCCATTTAATTAGTGGGTTTTGATGTGAAAATGTTTTTGGTTTTTTTTAAGAGAAGGCTCAATACAGGAAACGTACAGTAAGCCATGGATCTTCCCCAAAAAGATGCCTTGACCTCCAGGGTGGAATCTGTGGAATTTTGAGCATATGGGTTTTCATTTTTTAACTCTAAACCTATCTAGAATCAGGAGGAAAAAAAGTCATATACCAAAAAGTACAGTATTGTATTGTTTTATAGCATTTTCTCATTCACATATTTTAGCCATTTTTTGATTTTAGTACAAAACCAAACATGTTTGCTTCTTCAAATAGAGAAAGAGATCAAAATTTCTGTATCTTAGAATCTTTTGCTGCAAGTCACTGAATGGCAAGACTTTTTCTCCCCACAGATTTCAGTAAGCCTAATTTTCAAAGTCTCCATTATTAATGAAATATCAAGTGAATTAGTTAACATTTGCCTAGGCATGGTTAAAGACCATATACCCAGGAAGATTTCATATAACAAAAAGCGCCCAATCCTGGAAACATTTTTTTGTTCCATTTAATGCTCATAAAATTTTACAGACAACAGAATCCTTTCTTAAGCTTTATTTAAGAAATCGAATACTATTATAGTTCAATATATATAAGACACATCCAGTATTGTGTTCCTGATAGCAAGTGCATAGATTTTGTTAAGATATCATTTTTATATTTAAATTTTTTTTATTTGTTACTCAGTAGCACGTTTCATGATCACACGAAGGGATATTCCCAGTGATTTTACTAAGAGCATGAGAGAAAAAACAGAACACAGCAAAGTAGTGAAACTACAACAGAGATGAGGAACAAAAACGATCAGGCAAACTATCAGTACAGTCGATTCCTGATAAGTGAATAATCTGATTGCTTGGTCACAATGCTTTATTCACTTATCAGGAATGATTCACACTACATTTTGTTAAACTGTTTTCCTTAGCCTAATACCTAAGAGTCACACTGGGCAAAGGCACACACACTCTGGCAGGCTATTCTTTAATCAGCGAGTCTTGTGACAGTTTGGTAATTTCCCATGGCGATACACATATAGCTAACAAAGAGACATTTTGCTAACACTGCAAGGTGCCTTACATAATTGAAATTAAAAGCATGTGTTTAAGCAGGACAAACTGTTCAGCTGCATTGCTTTAAGGAACTCATTTTTCCCCCATTGTTGAAATTAAAAAAAAAAAAGAAGAAAGAAAGAAAACCCTGTATCTTTCAGCCCTGAGTATTTAAAAGAAACCTAACTGCAGTACAAGTCTTTTATTTTCAGTTGTATTTTTGGAAGAAAAGACCCTTCACAAGCTCTAGTTTCTTTCCTAAGACCAAGTTTGGAGGAAAAAAAGAGAAAAGAAAAAAAAATAAAACATCCACAGCAAGCTAAAAAAACCCAGAGAGCAATTCTGATTTATCCATCATGCAAGTCAAGACTTACTTAACTGAATCCACTGGTGTCAAAATTATCCAAATCGAGATCATAAATTCTAGAGGTGTCAAAGACCCAGGATATAGTCTGACCATCAGGTTCTGCTTTCCTGCCTGGGCTGTCTGCTACAGGCTCCTGTGGTTTTAGGTTAAACCTAGAGCTGCTTGGACCCCTGACCTCTGATAACAGACCCTGCGGGATGGCACTGGAGCTCACTGGGGGCTCCAGACTCATCACGTGTTTGCTTCTCGTGGAAACAGAAAAGTGAAAAAAAGGAAAAAAAAAGTCAGAAAAATAGATCGAGCAGTAACAACCAGGCCAACTCACAAGCCAGCAGAAAATTTCAAAAGTCTTCCAAACGCAGGAACCAACGTTGCTGCTGACACCACACGGATACACCCAGTGCGCCAGGACCTTTTGGACGGTATTGATGGGGCTGTGTGTGTGTGTGAGCCAAAGCCAGAGCGCCAGAAAGACCAGGGGAGAGGAGACAAGAGGGAGGAGTGTCGTTTGGGTCTCATAAGAGCACTTTTAAGTGGTCTTTGATTCCTGAGCATCACAGAAAGTGGGACAAAGGAAAGGGATGGGGGCGTATGGCTTGAATTCCAGAGAGCACTCACCAGTGCTTCTCTCTCCTCCTTGGGTTTGGTTTGGTTGGTTTTGTTTTGTGGTTTTTTTCTCCCCCCCTCTCCAAATTGTAAGGTTTGTATCTGTGATCAGAGGAGAGATTTTCTGTAAACCAGAACAACATAGATTTTTCTTTTGCAGCTTTTATTTCATCGTGGTAGACACCAGTTGGGGAAGAGCAGAGAGAATCTTGTGAGGAGGAAAAAATTATAGGAAAGGAAAGAATAAAAAAGCTAAGAGCCAAGTGTAAAAAATAATGAGAAAAAAAGTGCTATGGTATTTCTTTAGTCCCTTTTGAGATTTGTGTAATACTATCAGGCAATGCTGAGAAACTGCTTTGTAAGCCCACAGCAAAAATATCACCCATTGGAACAACAGGGGATCTTTTTTCCATAATTTATTTCTCCTTTTTTTAATTCTTTTTTTTTCTTCCACTGGCTTTAGTAGAAAGTCTTCCTGTGCTCACTTGGATTTTGTTATATTTTTTAAAGTATTATATGTACAACTGCACATAACAAGCTTGATCACCTGGTAAGATTTTGCAGGCTCTCCCAGCCCTAGTTAAGACATGATTAGTTTCTAGGGAGAGTTTGACTAACGCCATATGCCATCAGATTACTGTGCAGTTTGGAAAAAATCCGAAGGCTATATCCTCCTTTTCTTGAATGTTTCATATGCTTCTGCAATGTAGTGGCAGAGTAATTTTGTTTTAACAACTAGGAAGAAATGATCTCCATAATCCACATTTTCCAGACTGACTGAAATGCCCATCTTTTCAGGTGTCTTCTGTGTGTTTGTGTGCAGAAGGTTTTGCAGTTTGAAGGCTAACAAAAGCTACCTTCAATAGGACTTTGCAGGAAACTCATTTAAAATGCTTCCTGCTCCAAGAGATTATCCAAGTGATAAGGCATGACTAGGGGGAGGAAAAGAGAAAAAAAAAAAAAATCAAAGAAACCAGAACATGTCTAAAATGTACAAATCCTCTTTTGCCCCCCAATCAGCTATTCACTTAGGTGGAATCGACTGTATCTTTTGTACACAACCAACAAATAGAGAAAAAAAAAAAAACAGGCACGTGAAACAGTGAGGTGTGCAGATGTATTACCAACACAGAATGACCACCAACAATACAACACACAAAGTAGAGAGACAAGTATTAGGAAAATGGTTTAATATTGGAGACAGAAGCAAAAAACTGCATCACACAATAACATACGTTACAAAAATAAGTCTGACTGTTTCAACTACACGGTTATGTTCACAATGAGGACAGAAGAATCAGAAAAAACTCTGATCTAAACAGCAAAAAAGCAAACCCCTAACGTTTTAACTAATACATTTATCCACGCAAAGTGACCGAGTACTCCTAATTCTAATTACCTTATTGTGTAACTGCACGATACAGAATAAAAAGTGAAACTTACCGCTTTTGTTAAGACAAAATTCTAAACACTAGATATAAGCAAAGGGAAAAAAAGAAATCAAGCCAAAGTTTTGAATTCTCGAAACAAAACCAACTCTCTTTCTACCGTCCAGAAATCAAACTTGAAAATCAGTCATGATCGAGGGGGCCCACGAGAGTAAGCCACAAAAATTTCCATTTGTTTTTTAATCTCCAGTATAAAAAGTTCCACTGGTACAAAATGCATAAGTACAATCAAGTTGTAGAAATAGGAAAGCCTGCTTTTTTTTTTGCCTTTTTTTTGTTCTTTTTTTTTTTGGCTCAAATTCCATCAAACAACAAAATCCAAATGCATCAATAAAACAGAAACAATACTCAAATGGTCTTACAGTTTCCACTAGATTGCATTAACTTTGGCTTTTCTCAGACAATACTTAAAAACTAGTTTGTAATTCTAAACAAAATGATAGTATTATTAATCTACAAACAACAATTCCCACAGCACGAAAAAAACACAAATACATAGGTTTGTTTTTTTTTTCTTTTTGTATGACATTATCCAAAAAGGTAATGAAACTACAGGATATTTTTTTCCTTTTGTTAATTAGCACTTAAGATAATAAAAACAGAAACAGTAAAATGATTCCAGAGTAGCACAAGCCAAGGAACTGTAACCCCTATGGTGAAAGAAAGATGAACTTGTTACTCCTTTGAGGACTGCCATTTCATTGCAATTAGCTAATTTGTTTGATAAAACAACTAGTCTAGTCTTTTGATTAGAATTTTGTAAAGCAATTTCCCTTGTTTTACTTCCTCTCTTATTAGGCCCTTGCACCCTTGCAGCTTTTTCCTTTCATTATTTCGAAAGAGAACTGGTAGATAATTTGCCTCCCAGGAGGTGTACGTTTGGGTTTTTGGTTTGTATTTGAATTTTATTTTTGAATTTTTAATTTTTTTGGTTTTTTTCAGAGATGGACACTTTTCTAAGCAATGACTCATCTCAGTTGCCTGGAAGTACAGAAACATTCCTTGTCTCCCACTGCTAAGCCAATGTCCTGTGGAGTAATTCAGGGCAGCCTGATGCTGAGTTGCACCGCCCAAGGACCAGAGGCATCACCGCTCTAACCGGACTGGAAAACCCACAGGACACACCAGGGCATCTACAAAAGCTTTGGAAATTTAGACGGTGGGTACAATGAGAAAAATTAGTGAAACAGTCTCTAAACAGTCCAAATGATGATCTCATATTATATATATATATATATGTACATATATATAATATAACGTACGTGAGATGATACTTTGAATATGCACAATTGCTGCAAGTAGTACAAAATAGCCCTCAAAGGGTGTAGGAAGGCCCCAGCAGTAGTAAAAACGTGAGAAAAGTATAGATCATTTATTTATAAGTGCATGTGCTATAAGAAGGAAACTTTTTTTGCATCACTAGAGGCTAGTCCTTTCCATCCCAGGGCTCTACATAAAGAAGCATTTAAGTTGGGGATGAGAGACAAGAGTGCACCAGCTGATGTTGCTCATATAGGGCTTAGTTTTTAATTTTAGGTGGCTTCAGATATAACCAGATAGAACTAGGAGGTGGAAGAAGTTATGGCACTTTATGACCTGTAGCAGGTACTGCTGCTCACACACATTGGATTGGCAATGAATTTGCTGAACCGGTGGCAAAGAACCGAATTTGGTTGTTGGTCACTGTTTGTGCGGTAGGAACGCAACCCAATCAGACTTACAAGGCAGTGAAAAGGGCTACCAGCATCTCTTTTCTGGCTCCTTACAAAGAGCTTCCTCCAGCAAACACCCACATCAGTCACACAGATATTCCCATGGACCACGGGCACGAGTAAAGTTACTCCTCTCTGTACGAGTGTCTGCAGGAGTAAGCCAATATATTGCCGTGACAAATAATGGCAAATAACACCAAACATTACAGTGTATGTAAACTTTATCCATAAAAAGTAGTTTAACTGCAGTGCACACTGAATTTTCACCCAGGAAGATTTAGTGCATCTGATTTAAGCAAAAGTTCATTTATTTAAATTACAAAAATATTATTATTCTTTTTTTTTTTTAATTCCTCAAGGTTTTCAAATGGTGGATTGACCACTCCTGGTTGGGAGTGGCTCACACATAGATAATTAAAGAATTGTTTTCTTTTTCTTTTATTTTATTAATACTGAATAGCATATTCCAGCAGCATATTAAAAGCTCTTTAAGAAAAGACAAAATCCCCAAAATCTAAAAAGGAAAACCACAAGTTAATTACTGTTTTAAATAATTTTAGTTATAGATACAGAAGAAATTTAGACAGCAGTAAAATATTTTTGTCCTTCAGATCTGCCCTGTGCATTGTTCTGATTTCAACCATGTATTAAATAAACCACAAAAAACTAAGTATATATATATTTATAGATATAGATATATATATAAAAATAAACAGCAAAATGGTGAATGTATAAAAGGTATTAACACTCAAGACAGCTCTGGGTGGAAAGGGTTAAAAGTTCAAAACTTTCTCACCTTAGAGGTTTCCATACAATATGAAGAAAATACATAGTGAGGTTTGCTTTCACAGCATTGATGTGTGCAGAGTGGTTAAAAAAGTGAAACATGGGCACTTATACAATGTTTTACAAAAAACATCAAAGAGAAATAACAAACAATAACAATTTCAGGCAACAAGACCACAGGATAGCAAGTTAACAAACTTTTTAACCTCTTTTTTTCTTTAAATATTAGGGATTTATACAAAACACATAATAAAATACCCATGTTATCAAATTACTTCACACAAGAAACACACTGAAGCTCTAGGAAGAAAGTACCTTTGGAATTTGGCACTATAGTTTCACTGATTTTTTTTTCTTTAAAAGAAAAACTGATCACATTTTGCTGAACACAAACACACCTAAATTGTTCACAATAAAAAAATGACATCAATGCGTCACAAGCCAACACAAACTTATTCTGGAATATTTTTTCATTTTCACATGAAATTATTTTTTTTTAAGCAAACAACTTTTTTTTGTGTTTTTTTTGAATCTTCTTTTTGTTCTTGTTGTTCAAGTAAACCAATTTTAAACTTGTCTTTTTATAAACATAGAACACTTAAGACCATAAGACTCATGATGAAACCACAACTTAATTCACAGAAGCACCAACGTAACACATTTTACAGTAACCTTTCTTCTGTACATTGAAACAGTATAAAATATAGGTAATTTCATGTGCATTAAACCATGGATTGTCTAACTGTGAGTCAGTTCAGCAAAAGGTGACACAAGTAGGTAGCATTTGCCCTAAAACAGGGTAAATATTTTCTTATACTAATCTACAAAAAGTGGTTCTATATATATACTTTAATGAGAAAGTGAGCCACCTAAAATGGCCTTATCAAAAAACTTTACACTGCCTGAAAAATGTAAAAACTATTACAGACCTCTAGAGACTTAAAATCAGACAGTTTTATTTCTCAAACTGTTTTGGAAGTAGTCTGTTAGAAACCAACATTCTGTGCATCTGGACACATATTGCTATTGTCACCAGTGACCAGGCAGAATGCCAATCCCTGTATAATACTTTCAAGTCTGTTTTTTTTTTTATTTTTTTTTTTACGAAATGAAAAAAAAAACCAAAACCAAAAATCAACCAAGAAAAAAACCCAAAACAAAAAAACCCAAACAAAACGAAACAAAAACTCCAAGGAAAGAAGAAAACCAGAAAACAAAACTGAAATAAAGGAAAGAAAGAAAAAACATTTTGCCACAGGTTGTTTTTAAATCCTATCATTAATTTATCTAATAATAAATTTCAGTCTTGCATGAATGCAGCAATGTTTTTTCACATTGACTTCCCAGAATTCATAGCTAGATGAGGTCACATGCAAATTTCAAAGGTCAAACTAGGTCAGTAGGAGAACCAAATATGATGTGAGGTCAGAAAGACATCAGAAACAATGACGGGACGATGAAACTTTTTTTTTTTTGAGACGCCACAGGGACATGCTAGGCAAACGATGGGCTAACGGGCATGGAGATGTCTAGGGAAAAAACAAGGAAGAGGAAAAAAAGTTACACAGAATCTATGCAGCACAAACAAAATCACTTTTATGGGTGCAGGAGAAAACTAATGCAAATCTTTTATCAGTAGAGCCTACGAGCTGTTCACATAATTTGCATTAACTTACAATACTTGTCAACAAGAACACAATGGAACCCCAAACGAATCCATCTGAAAGGAGTCAGAGAGAATGGATTCCTCTTTGGGGAGAAAAGAGAGGAAAGAACCAGTTTCTACAAATGTAACAGAAAGGTACAGGGAGAGGGGTGGGGGAAAGGGTCAGACAACTGAACTTTAAACTAGGTAATGGAAACTACGAACAAAATAACCAGACAAATACAAACAAGAGGATAAAAGCATGAACTGCAAAGGGTGGAGGGTTCAACAGTGAAAAAGCGCCCATTCTTGGCACAATTACTCTAGAGACTACTTCAAAGGATCTAGCTAGCATAGAGAGCTGCTCTTTAGGTATCCAATAAGTTAACAATAGGCAATAAATAAATTCCATTATTTCTGAGGCAGTAAAAATTTTGTATAAAAATAGAAATGCTTTTTACAAATAAAATTTACAGGCCTGTGGCTTTCTTTTTTTTATTATTATTAAATTTATCTCTCAAGAAACATCAAGTATTGTCACTCATTTTATTTTATTTTTTTTATTTTAAACCCTGTAGCTTTAGAAACAGATCTCTAAATCTTTTTTACATTAATCCTTTCCAAAAAAACAAGAACTTAAAAAAAATGAAATATAAAGACGACCAGTGTAAAATCAGACTAATATATAACAATACGTTGATTTGAACCGAAAAAAAAATCAGATCTTCTCAAAAAACAAGTTGATGTAGTGGAAAGACTTATTTCAATTTTTGTTGCTAAATAAGTGCTTCAACTGGCATGAGGCCATTTGTTTAACCTATAAACTGCTGGTGCCACCCTGGTAAAATACGATCCATCCATAGAAAACAACTTTTATTGTGTGCTAATGGCACCAGGGTTCACAGAGTTAAATTGCACATTTTTTTGTGTCTGTGTGTGTGTGCTGTTTGGAATTTCAAGAAGTTTATTTTTGTTTCGAAAAGGAGATAAATTATGCTGCAAAACAAAATACAGTAACACAACTCAGTAATTACTTGGCGAGGAAATGGGAGCCAAGTGCAGTAAGGACAAGTGGGGAGATGGAAGTGGTAACTGTAAAAATAACTGTCCCTTGGTGAAGGTTGGCTCTATGTTCTTTCTTAACCCCCCTGCAGAGGACAGGTTTGCTCATGGGACTTACCCTAAGAAAGCTAAAATAAGAGCAGTAAGCATCTGGGGTTAAGATCAGTAAGGTTTGCTGTCATTTTTGGAGCGTTTCAGCTGAACCTTCAAGCGTTTCATGCCAATCTGAAAGCCGTTCATAGCCTGGATAGCAGCTTGTGCAGAGACCGGATTGTCATAGCTAACAAAACCTGCGGGACACAGAACACAGGCAGGAGAGAAAGTCAGCTCTAGGTTAGCACAAATGTCACAAGGCATTTTGTTAGAATTTCATGACTGCTATTTATTTGACACATTCACCTGGCTTTCAATTAGTTCTTTGATCACATTTCATATTCCATTTCCTCTCCTGTTTCCTTTTGCCTTCCTCTTTACTTACATATTTCTTTACTAGCTGGGATGCAGTTGGCCAATTTTGGTGCAATGCAGTTTCCATTTTGTTATTTATATACCTACCTTAGAGACTGAAGATATTTATTACTGTAATGCTTTTCAGTGTAGTATCTACATACCTCCCAGTCTATTAGGAAGTGCTATTTAGGCCAGTCTGCAAAAGGGAAGCCAAAACAGCAAGCCTGGTTCCAGAATCAACCCCCAAACTGCCTAAACCCACTGGCACACCTGAGTGTGAGTTCATGTGTGCTGTGGAACACTCATCTCCTTGGGCTCAGCTAGGACAGTTGCAATATTAATATTTTGTAATTTTACAGCTCCTTCCAGTTCAGGATCTCAGGGTACCTTAATGTGAGTTAATTTAGTCTCTTGGTCCCCAAAGGGGTATGCAAACATCAGAATTAAGCAGCATCATAAAGACAATGGTAGGGTTTGATGAGAACTCCAAGATCTGCTCCTCACATGTGAGCACTAACTAGGAGGATAATGCTTGCTTGGGTAATTCAGAATGGCTGGCCTGGCTCAGATTTCTTTTCCCTGGGAGACTGAAAATGTTCTGTTCATAATATATTCAAATCTCCCTGATTCTGGAAGCTCAAAGTTCATTTTCATATCTGGGCCTCCCACTTGTAATTGCAAAGCTCACCTAACTGCTGCTCTGCCTCAGCTTGGGCTAATTATTACTGCACTCAGCCTGCTGCTATGCATCTGCTTTGAAATGCTCCCTCATCTTTCCACTTGAATTTGCCTTAACATATATCCCTCACTCTCCTAAAGCAGGGATGCCACACACTTTTTCTTAACACATGGGCTTCTCAATGTCTCTCTTTCCTCAACCAGCTTCATTCATTTGTGCTTAGTGTCTGTGTACTTCTTGGATTCATAACCTCTTTTTACTTTAACCTATCCTTTTATGGCTCTTGCACTGCTGCTGTCTTCCAATTGCAGAGTCAGAGTGCTATTATGCTTTCCCCACTGCATAAAATCTTCCCCCCTTCTCAAGGTATCCTTGTCCAGCTGTTCTCCTTCATAGATCATCCCGTGGCTTCACCTTAAATCAGCTTCACCAAACTATTTAAGTGTCTGACAGCTCAGGCTATCTTCTGTTCCTTCCACTCAAAACCACCTCTCTGCAGACCTTCTCCTGGCCAAAGCCAATATGCTCTATCCATATTGTCCTGTGATTGATTATTTGTTATTTCCTTAAGGGATAATAAATGTTCTTCCATACTTTCCTTGGTTTTAGTAAATCTTGCCACCTCCTCACTTTCCCCCTGAGATCATTCCCTCTTAAATTTATTGCCAAATCCTGAGGAGCTTCATCACTCTCTTCCTTTCTTCCATTCCCCTATTTGGTTCTAGGAGATCATGTCTGTTCACATGACTCCAATCATTATCTTAGCTCTACATCCTGTGTCTCCCTCCATCAGCTCTTGGATTGCCTCAGGGATAGCAAAGGGAACTAGCAGGAGTTGGGAGGCAGCTGTAGCACTGTCCAGGCAGATGCTCCACAGCTGAGGTGTAGCTACTCCTACCTACCTTGACAATTCAGCATTTCCCTCTACAGCTTTCCCGACCTTCACTTTATTCTCTTAAGTGCATATTACTGCTATGAACTTATCATCACTGTTCCTTTTCTTCATACCTAGTTTTATCCACCTGGAAAGTAAGCAAGTGATCTAAACTAGTCACTTGGCATCTGTGGATGGTGAATGAAGAGAAGGAAGCACATTGCTGGCATCAGCCCCTATCATTCAATTCTTATTTGGACTCACAATTTGTCTCTCTACACAGAATGCAATACCTGCATTAGCTTGTTACGCTCACATCTTCTTCCTTATTGAGAACCTTCATTCATAAAGCTTACTGAGGAATCTGGAATTCCTTCCCTTTATTTGTATTTTTCTGATTGCACCCATTCATCACTTTTTGTCTGAATTTTAAACCATAGGTTATATGTAGTCGGAATGACATTTCTTATTAATTCTCAAAGTCCCTGTCATGACAATTCTGATTTTTGTTTTAGGTCTTTGGGTAGCTCTATAATCAGGATAAATAATTTTCACCATTCAAGTAACAATTTTGCTATAAGGCTGACTGCATTTCTGCATTGATGTAACTGGGTTCCCCCTCCTCTGCCTTACTTACATATCTCATTTTTCTTATTGTAACATTTATGAAAGGCAAGAGATAAGCTGGAAGAGTGAAACCCTTTGTCTGCTGAATCAAGTAAAGCCTGTGTAGCCTGTGAGAACTCATGGAAGAGCACTTCCAGGTGTAAACACACTGTCCTGTCATCCTCACCACCATTTAATCCTTTGAGCATTCATTTTGGGTTGGACAAGAAAAGAAAATATGCCTAAGTCCTTTTTCTGCACAGAAAAGAAATTTTTTGTTTTGTGAAGCAGTTTTACATAAAGATTCATCACTGTCTATCACTCATTCAGAATGAACCTTCCCATTTCTGCCAGACAGATTTGGACAATCTTTACACCTTTTGCATGTCCAGCCTGTTCTTATCTGTAATTTGACTTCCTCCTCCTTTGGGCAGGAGATTGGAAACTCCAGAGTAGGAAGCCCTAAGCACGTGCAAATTATTACAATTACAATTACTATTTCTAGGAGCAAAATGATCAAACCAGACCAACAAATAAAAAACCCAAACCCAAACTGTACCAAGCACAATGACCATTAATGATTCAGCAGAGAAATGGGTTCTTCAGTAGCACTATTGTCATAGTTTTGGGTGGGAGAACAGGGAAGAAAAAACCAAAAAACTTTTTGAAACACAAGTATCGGACCAAACCAAAAATTAGACAATTCTTGCTAATAAAGCTGAGGAGGTACATGATGACTATGCCACTACATTAAGCTAGCAGGACTAATTCTGACTTTGCCTGTGATTTGTAGCATCACCAAGTAGTCACACAATGAATCAGAAAACTCAGCTTCATCTGCCACTTTTGCTTTTTGTTTCTAAAGCAGAGCTCCCTCCCTGGTGGCAGAGTATCTGGGAAGGAAGACTGAGAAATGGAAATCAGTGAAAGCTGCCTAAAACCAAAGAGACACAGGATTCCTCCATCCGTTGGGTGTTGACACTTCCATTTTCCCTTAGAGAAGATAACTTTGGTGCATCACTAAGTTAGACAATTGTGTCCCACAAACCCAGGAAAATATGTAAGAAGGTAATCAAAGAGTAAAAGAAAATGCACAAAAAGCAAGTGTGGGAAACGATCTGATGAATTGAGCCACCTGCCCAAACTGATTTACATTCTTTCAGCAGTCACCACAATTGCTGCATTTTGATTAACATAGCTTGATTTGTGTTTTCATCAAGATTCCTGGAGACCTCAACAACGATTTTGTAAACCCCAACATACTAACAGAACTGGCTCTAGATCAATGGGGAGTCCATTTCAATTCCACTTTTCAAATTTGCAAGAGCCTCAGGGACTGCTTTAACCCATTGCAGACACAGGCTGGACTATACTGGTCTAGATATGAATAATTTTTTGTAAAGCCTAAACAGGTGAATGCTTCAAAAATGAACTGAAAAACTGTGGGAAAATGCAGAATGAATGTCACACTCTTTTTGTGAACTGAATCAACTTTCCGAGTGTACTGTCCATTCCTTTTTTGTCATATATACAGGTGCATTCCTTTACTCTGGGAAAGAATTGCCACTTTAAAGAAAATTCCAGTATTTTATATCAACACTTACAAAACTCATGTCTAAGAGATTCCTTTCTCCTTCTAAATCCTCACTGTGTATTGTGTAAGACCATAATTATTAACTCCAAAAGTTTACCACACACTGACATTCTCTGCTCCACTCCATCAAAGCACTGAACTGGTGCATCTCTGCTATTCCAAAGACATCAGCCCTCCTAATCAACTCTAAAACTATTTTTATACCAACACATCATCTCCTTCTCTGCTGTGATCTAATTTTCTGACAGCTCAAAGTATTCTCTGGGTAACTTGACACTGATCTGGTGAGGCTCTCTTCATCCCTGCCCTAAGGTAAGGGAGATGCCACCTTCCATAACACACTGGAAGCCACCCACACCAGCTAGAGCTGCACAGCTAGACATCAGCTGTCTGCAGAATATTCTGAACCACATGTACACACCATTCAGCCACTAATTGCAAAATCTGGTACTTAATTCAGACGAAAGAAATTCCTGTAATGTAGAAGCAATGGGTTAAACATAGAGCTTTTTAAGTGGCTCAGCTATACAATAGAGAATAATTAGGTATCCATAATAAGGCAATTTAATAGTATACTAAATGACATTCCCCCACATAGGGTGTAATTAGTTTCATGTACTTGACACATTCATGCGAGATGTCAGACTGGAAGATTATTATTGTTTTTTTCATATCCATTTTTTAGTTAGAAGTAGTTTGTCTTTGCATCTTCCTGCTCATTTGAGGATTAACAGTCTATTATTTTTGGAATGATTTTCCAGTATGACATTTCTCACATTGCTGTTAATTTTCTTTCCTGGCCCCTTTTCAGTATAGTGCATGTGGCTTTTACTGTTGGATTTATTAAATTTGACATACCAAAGCACTTGCTCAAATTGGTCTGTTTGTCAATGAAGACTTTAGCAGAGATAACATTTCCAAAAGGCATGAACATCTGCAGAATGTCCTGGTCTCCAAACTCCTGGGGGAGGTGGTAAATAAAGAGGTTTGCCCCTTCTGGACCTTTAGGAAAATAAAATAAATAAAAAAAAGAAGTATGAAAACAGCTATTACAAGTGCAACATTTAATCTGTTTTTCCATAATACTTACTGAAGCTGATGGTCAGAAAGCATTTCACTTTCTGAAGGAACAAAAGTAAGTGGATCATCAAAAGAGCACAGCTGAAATGCAGCTCTTGAGAGCATCCCATCGTGAAAAGTGTTTACTTTGAAAAGTGTTTATTTCATAACTCTACTACAGAAGTAGTTAAATTCATCCTCTTTCTTCAATTTACATGAGTGTCTTTCAATATAATTAAGGTTAGGAAAACAGGTACAGAATGTATTGGCTCTCAAAATGCCCCAAGAACTGCACAAGAAGTCCTCTGCTGCTTCCTACACCTGCATGGGTTTGTCAGTTTAATTCCAGTTGCAGGAACTCATGGAAATGTAGGCAGGTGAGCTCAGATTTGAGTACCACAGATTTAAACTCAAAGGGCAAGAAAATGGTGCAGATACGAATAAAAATAGTAAGGAGAAGCACACCTTGGGTCTTAAAAGTCAGTGAGAAAAAGACATTCAAAATTAAATTTGTACTGATTCATTTAAAAATGAGGTTTTTTGTTTTTTGGGTTTTTTTTTTTTTTTTTAATATAAATCCCCCATACAAGGATATGTCTCCTGGAAGAAGCTTTGTAAAGCAAGTCTTTTAAAGAAGTTCAAAATTAAGTAGTTGGGTTGCAATTAAGTGCCTTTAGACTTCGTTCAGTTTGCAAAGAAAGATGTAAACTCAAAGTGTCTTGAATACTTTCCTTACAGACAAGATTTGAGAAAGGTATTATTAAGATGTAGGTTAAAACATTAATCTTAGTACTGATAGGTTATTTTTTTTCTCCTAGCTCAATATTAACACACTGCAAACAAGCAATGGATGCCAGGAAGAGTGTGATACATGATGGAGCCAGGCGTGGCCTCCATCCAGGCTCCAGCAGCCTTAGTGGTACACAAAGGGAGCAAACATTTCTGCTAAAACCACACCTAGAATAGCCTGATTATATATTCCCTTGCTTAATGGAACCTAAATGTGCCTCAGATGTGATGTCCTTGGTTTTCTGAAGAGGAAAGTGCTCGTGAGATTTACAGAGTTCCTTCTGCAACAGAGCCACAGAGCCTCACCTCTCCCACACAGAATCAGGCTGGCTGCTCTCTCTCAGCCTAAAGGAAAAGGTAGCAAAACTTGCCCAAAGGGAGATAAATGAATTAGATAAAAAAAAAAATTCTGGGGAGGCAGGAAAAAAAAAAAAAAGATGAAATAAACTTGTCACTTGGAAGTTTTTCTTCTTGTCACAAGTAAACTATCATTCCCAGCAAATAATGTTCTTTAAAATAGTAGGGAAAAAAATTGCTAAATGATTTTAAGAGCATATGGACGAGGCAGTTCACTGTGTTTCAGAATTTAATATTTATATAGCATTTTTGTCTGGTACTTGTTTATCTTCAACCACTCCAGACTCTTCCATCAGAAATCATGGCAAGAGACAAAACATTGTTGAGAGTATTCAGCAGTGCAATTCACTCACTTGAACTTAACCACCTACTAATAGATGCAAGATATATAACAAAAACACTGTGTTTTAAAAAGGATGCTGGCAATTCATAAAAATAAAAACTAAGCCTAAAATTGATTTGAATATTTCTGAACAGAGAAAAATTATAATAGCTAGAAAAAAAATCAAGCTTTCTTTGACTATGTATCTTGCAATAACACGAAATAAACAATTTTTTCTGGTGTCAAATAGTCTATTGTCACTGACCAAAGGGCCTGAGGTGAAAGATGAATGACGAAAACAAAAATGATGGAAAAAAAGATTTAAAAATCCCCTTTTATTTTAAGTAATTCAAGCTTTTAGCAGCAAATGAAGGGAAGACTTGAGAGAAAATATACATTTTAACTCCAGTGTCCCTATACAATAACCAGCTGGGGGAATGCCAAATTTGTCTTCCTAGGAAACACATCCCATAACAGTACAAAATACTATTTCAAAAGAGGATAAAAAAGATTTCTCTTGAGGATATTATACTAGGTTTATTTCCAAAGCTTATCCTTGGCAAGAGCAGTAGTGACAACATAGACACAGTCTTAGAAAGCATGCAGTATTTTCCTGTCTTTGCAGAATTAGCTGGAAATTAGGACAGGAGAAAGCAATGAAAACAGAAACAACCCCCCTGAAAATGCCTGGGAAGCATGAAGGGGAACGGAAGAGGGGAAAAGGGTAGCCTCATTTTCCTAAACACCTTGTAATTAGTATTCATTTATTCTTAGCAATAACTTCCTGAGGTTTATTTGCTGTTGGTGTGGGGAGAGGGGGGCAATCATTCACTTAGCTGCTTCCTCACAAGACCCACAATTAAGCAAAGAACCACTCAGAGTGAAAACGGATCTTGTCATTAGCTCAAAACCTTAATCAGATTAACTCCACTATGACAGAAAATGGAAACCAGAAGACAAAACTGCATCCACAGAGGGATGATTTTTGTTAGCGGCGCCTTTTTATATGGTAGTTGGTAAATGCTTTTATATAAGGAAGGGATGGGTGGCAAAGCATAACTCGAAGGACAGATGGCTGAAAAGTGAAACACATTAGACATCAAAAAAGGTGACAGTGGCAAGCAGGAGAAAACTGGAGGAAGAAGAAATCACAGATTAGACTGCCTGAGGCCTTCCGTGAAGCCTCCACGAGGAAACAGCCGCGTGGCATCGCTTGGGCCGGGTGTGCTGGCGCGGGCACTTACCTTCCTTCTGGCTGCCCGCGGCGCTCTGCTGCTGCAGCAGGCTCTGGCTGTAGAGGGTGGGCAGCGCGGCGGCCGCGTACTGCTGGATTCCTGAGTAGGCCTGGGTGAGCGCGTCCATCGTGCCGGCCGTGCCGTTCGTCAGGCCTGTTGCGCCGAGTCCTCCGTTCAGGGCCGCCATACCTGAGAGCATTTGAGCAACTTTACAAAAAACCCAACAATAGAGAAAAGAAATTGCACTTGTTCATTAGTGCTTTCCGAAAGTCGTTGGTATTATACGACACTGACGACGACAGCAGTGCATGCAGCTCGGCACGTCACCAAATGGGACTGAGGACAAAGAAACACGACTTTGGCATCAGGATCACTTCAGCACAAGGGTTGCACAGTCAAATGGACTCGCATGCAGCCTGCTACTGGCAAGTACTACAGCTCCATGCTCCTGAGAGCCTCTCTGCACATCCTCCTCGACACCTGTGCTTCTGCTGTGGTGTCTGAGGCTGGCAGTGTGGGACCTGTTTGACCCGTGTCCTTGTCTGTGGAAAAAGCAATCTGTGAGGAAACCCACTCTCTCTGACCAGGGTCTTCAGCAACAGCCATGACAACATCAGATCAGAAGTGTTCTGCTTATGCAGAGTAAGCAGAGAACCCCGATTAACTGCATTTAAAAACAAGTCTTTTTCAATCTAAATAATTCTACTATAACTCTCTATACAATTACAGGCTTTGTCCCTTAGGCTTGTGGTAGAAAGATGCACTGTGATGCTCTTTGCTTCCACCTTCCTCCTCTAGTTACTCCAGTCACTGCACAAAAGATGAACACCAACACACCCAGAGTGACTAAAAATACTTCGTCCAGACTAGGCATCTTTCATGAAGAAACAAAAGCATTTATTTCTAGCAATGTTTTTCTTCACAAGGGAAGCCGAGTCACTTTTTTTTTAACTTACAGCAATTCTACATCCTGATAAGTAACAGAGTAATTTAACTGGGATGGCTGCTAAAGAGGAAATTTCAGATGGGATTGCTAGCTGTGCAGAAAATGACATCCCTCATCCGTGCAAACAGTGTGGGCTGCATAAGGAGTTGTACTACTCTGATTTGATGGTGGACAAACTCCTGAGCTACAGCTTCCCTCCTCTGCTTCTACTGCTCAGCATGACTCCAAAATGAGTTATGTTGAAGTTAATACTGCTAGCATGTCTTTCAGCAATTCCAGAAAAAGTGAATTTGCTGTTGGAAGTTGAAAGCATGGCAGGGTTCAGAGCCCTGCTCATCTTCCACACACCCAGCCTATGTCAACCTGAGCAACTGAGAGCCCATCAGGACTGAGAGTCGGAGCATGTTTTCTGCACAATTAGCCATCCCAGCTCCCCAGTTTCTAGGTGAACAGCTCACAAACAACTTAGAGAGCTTAACAGGCCCATAGAGGTACAGAAGATCAACCATAGAGGTCACTAGAAAAATGGTGGGGGGCACCCAGAATCACCAGCAATCATTTCTTACACATTGTCTAATGTTTTGATTGGTAAAATGGTGGGTGAAGATGTGACTGGTGGTGCCATATTAAGATCCCAAAGAGAGGAACAGTAAAAAGAAGGAAGGGGCTTAATTTCAGAGCCATAATAAGGGTTGGTATGTAAATTGGGGAAAAGTGGGGAAATTAAGCAGAGGACACTTTATAGTAAATTAATAATTAAGTCTATTAGACTGGGAAACAATCTTCAAGGAAGATGGAAGAAACCTTATCACATGTATAATTTAGATACAGGAAGAATACTGCAGGGAATTACCCAGCATTGACAGAGGAGGATAAAGATGCTGACCCCAGTATCCTTCTGCCTCTTATGCAGATTTGAAAAGCATATTCCTATGAGTCTCCAATAATCAGGACAATTGCTCAAGTGGCACCTTTTTGGCTCCACCAGACTCTGTGCCAATTAAGAGAATTGTACTGCATAAATTATACCTTTTGATCTTACTATAATTTGTGTGACTAAACACTTGACAGAGATGTGATATTCTTAGCCTTTCCTTAATAAAATGTCTCACTTTGAAGACTTCTCTTTCCCCTCCACCCCACTTCAGAGCATCACTGTACCCTGATGGGAGGTACTGGCTGCCACTGCTTTGAACAAAAAATCCTGTCAGAGCTCAACAGACCTGGGTATTTCTTGTATAATGGTTCCAGTTATAAAACTGTATTGGGTTTGGGTGGTAGTGGGGAGGATAAAGGGGTGGTTTCTCTGAGAAGCTGCTGGAATCCTCCCCTACATCCTACAGAGCCAATGCCAGATGGGTCCAAGATGGACCTGCCAATGGCCAAGGCTGAGCCCATCAGAGACACCTCTGAGGTAACTTGGTATAGGAGGAGAAAAAACCCTGTGCAATGGTAACTGCAGCTGGAGAGAGAATGTGTGAGAGAAACAGCTCTTCAAGGTCGATGGAGAAGGAGGGGCAGGAGCTGCTCCAGGCACTGGAGCTGACATTCCCCTGCAGCCCCTGGTGCAGCCCACGGTGAGGCAGCTGTGCCCTGCAGCATGTGGGGGTCCACGAGGGGCAGAGATCCACCTGGGGCCCATGAAGGAGCCCACACCAGAGCAGTGGATGCCCAAAGAAGGCTGTGACCCCACAGGAAGGCAGTGCTCCTGGTAGGATCTGTGGAGAAGATTGTACTGGAGGAGGTTTGCTGTCAATACTTGTGACACCGTGGGGGACCCAGTCTGGAACTGTTCTTGAAGGGAAATGCAATGGAACAGACCCACACTGGAGCAATTTGTGGGGTGCTGCAGCCTGTGGAAAGGGATTCACACTGAAGGAGCAGGTGAAGAGCTCTCTCCTGTGGGAGGGACCCCATGCTGGAGCAGAGGAGCAGTGTGAGGAGTCCAACCCTGAGGAGGAAGGAGCTGCAGGAACAATGTGTGATGAACTGACTGCAACCCCCATTCCCTGTCCTCCTGCACCACTGGGGACAGTAGGTGGAGAATTCAGGAATAAGGCTAAGCCTGGGAGGAAGGTAGGAGTGGGGAGAAGGTGTTTTTAAGATTTGGCTTAATTTCTCATTATTTTACTCTGAATTGATTGGTAATAAATTAAACTAATTTCCCTGAGTCAGGACTGTTCTGCCTGGTAAGTGATCTCTCCCTGCCCTTACCTCAACTCACAAACCTTTTGTTATATTTTCTCTCCCTTGTCCAGTTTGGGAGTGGGAGTAATAAAGTGGCATTCAAAATATTATAATAACAGTAATAATAACAAAACCAATATGAATAACAATTTTTATAATAAATGTACAACATACAATATATTATATACTAAATATTACTACTAATAATAATTTGATCCTGAGGCTGACTGTTTCCTGCTCTGCTGTTCTGTGCTTAGGTTTGTCTCACTGCTTGCACAGCACTGGTTAAACTAAAGACTCCTGATAAAGCAGCTTGTATCTCTCTTTTTATTAGAGCGTTGAAATAACTTGATAACAGAGGTAGCATTAGGATACCATGTTATCTTTCGTGAGTCATTGGCCTATTAGATAAACATGCTTTGTGTTGCAGTGGGCAGCATCCTCCCCCTCCTTTCCCCTGGAATCAATAGCACTTCCATCCAGATCAGCCATCAGCCAGACAACCCAGCCCACGGCACTGCCCCTGGGAAGGGCACAGCTACTGCTGCCACAGCCCACGGGGGGCACACACCTTCCTCCTGAGCAAAGCACAGCTGCAGAAAGCACCCAACACTTTTCTGTTCTTGCATTTTTATGAAATCTGCAAGGCCCAGCTGCTGTTACGCATCTCTGCCATCTCTTTATTATCTCTACCAATGCACCTCAGTCACACACTGAACTCTGGTCCCTTCCTCCCTTCTGTGAAATAACCTTTTGGAGCCTCTCATCTATGGCCTTCTACTTTTCTGAGTTTCTCTACATAATACAAAAGCAACAAAGCTTGGCAAGTCCAAAGGTCTCACAAAGTGCTTTTCAAGCACCTTCAAATCTGTCATGAATAGTTTTATCTCTGTTTTACAGATGTAAATAAGGGGGCAAAAAGGCTAAGTGACTGCCCTGGGGGCACACACAAATATTGTGCCATAGCTGTCCAGTATTCTGAAAGTATGGTCTTCTTTCTTAATTGCAAAATTCTCTTCCTCCCTCTTTACTATTTTTTCCTCATAATTTATAATTATTTTTGGTACTTAGAATTCTTACATTTACATGCTCAAAGCAGGCAGTCTAATGTTTTGCCATTTAAAGTTTTAGGTCCTTCAAAAGTAACTGAGGGAAGACTAAATCCCCACACTTCGGTACAACTGCTGCCAAAACCTTGGAAACACCTAAACTTACCATACTCCACTTTATTTAAGGCCTCCAGATGTCTTTTTAAAATGCTTCTCTCTACAATGACAGCACTATCAGCCTCCATAGCACAGCTTATTTTCACAGACCCAGACAAGACTGAGAAAACAGATAAAAATCTTCTAGTGAGCCCAGTGTGGAAGACATTCTTCATGTGATTTTCATGTGCAGGGCAGGACTTGGCTTAGGCAGAAGAGCATCTCTTCAAACCTCCATAAAAATCAATGCCCAAGCTCAGTGCCACCTTCTGATTAATTTTTGGGTTAAGCTCTGTTTGGTTTGTGCTTTGGATTTTCTAATTCCCCAGCTAGAAGCATGTCACTCAATTCCAATTTGCTGCACAGTTAATTCAGGAATGTCCATGGCCAGTGAATATTTTTTATGGGCTTGCTTGTGACCCTGGTATAAGCCATGTCAGTGTGGAACATCAGACTTACTGAACATGAGGTTTCCCAAAGGCAATCTCCCAGGTGGGTTTGAGTGTGCATGACTGAGTCCGACATGGTCATCACATTAAAATGGACAGGGGAGGTTATTCTAATTTGAGCAATGCTTCACTATCATCAGAACCATGAGTACCAGAAAGTGATAATCAAATTTGCTTTTAAAGGAAACAATGCCCTAATGCTGAGCTGTGTCATGGGGAAGCAGTTTCCCCTCTTTAGCTCTCTCTCAAGTATGTATACACATAGACGGACATACCCACACACATTTTGTAAGCACCATACACATATCCATAAAAACATCCACAGAGAAGATTTGGGACCGCAGTCCCTCTCAGTACAAGTCCATGGAAGCAATGGTGACTTAAAACAAACTGAAATTTGGTACCAGGTTGTGAATACATAATTATTACTTCAAATGACACATGCAGATAAGTTTGCACACATATCGCCTCAAAATACTTGCTGAGAAAATGTAAATTCTTTGCTTGCAGCCTAGCAAGGAGTGCTAAAAGGAGTGCAACAAAAGGGTTCCCACACAATAAGCTCACAGGATTCACTCCTGCTTGGTGTTGATGAAGAGGTACATTATGTTGGAGTGCTCCAGTGTGCCTGGTTCTTAGTACTTGCTTAGGGAAAGGAGTGGGATGTCATATTTTGCTCTTGATATTGTGATTTTTTTATACACCAAGTGAAGCACAATGACTGGTAATCAGAAAGGACATTTAATTGTTTCTTACTCATGACAGGGTAGCTCTCTTACTACAAGAGCTGACGAGAGAAAAGGTGAGTTAGCCTTCTATGCATGCCATTTCCAGTGGCTTGCTTTGACACCAATAGAATAAGAAGAAAGGAAACTAACATCTGCCATTTTGGGACCTAATACTAATTTTCTTAAGTTGTCCTTGAGCTGTATTTACAAAGAGGTTGTTTGGTGTGAAATGCACATGTCCTTGCCAGAAGCAAGTCCTGTTTTACACGAGACCCCATGCAACCATTCAACATTGCTACATGGACATCCATAAGCCCCCTTCCTTCCCAGCTCCCAACAATACCAACCAGAGATCACAGAACAAAAAGATTGGGTGAGCAGCCAAGTAACAGTGACAGAAAGGACATCATGCAGAGCATCAGAGTGAGCAAGAGATACTGAGGAGGACATCCATTCCTGAGGGTACATTATGATGGGTCATGGACTGCCAATGACCAAATAGATTCCTTGCATTGCAAAAGGAAATGCAAGGAGCAACAGCAGCTAAAGAAAAAAACGAGGGAGGGGGAAAAATGCAGCTGGGCAAATCTCTTCTGTAACAGGCAAAGGTGAAGTAATCATGGCAGAAACAATTAAAAAAAAATCCTCCTTCTTCAAGAAAGTCTTGATCAGGGCTAAGGACAAAGAAGAATGCTCTAACATCTACTGGCATCTATTTAGCTGGAGATGCCAGGGTTTGTTAAGATGTCATAGGATAGGTGTGTGTGCTCTGGCATTACAGGTGACTGACTGCTCTTTCTCCTATACTTGCCAATTAAAAGACCTGCTTTCATTTTTAAAGCATGTTGCTCTCAAGTCAATTACATAATTCTTACAGATGTTTTAAAGGACTGCCTCTGTGGCACTACATTTCTGAGTGAGGTTTTGTATATTGGGGTGATACACCTCTTGTCAGACTCCCTCAGTGAAAAAGGAGCCTCTCCTACAACCTTGATAAACCCAAATCCCTGGTGACAATTCTTTTACCTTTCACATGTACTGCAGGAAGAGGAGTCTTTATGCAGGGACACAGGGAAATTCACTTTGCAGAACAAACTGTGTGAAACTAAAAGACTCCAGAGAACTACATATGTTGTAGTATTAGTATGGAACTGAATCAACTTCACCCCCTTAATTGGTGTAGAGATTAAAAATCATATTATCACTTTGCAATTGATAGTTTTTGTGGCGTGATTATTGGGGAAGGCTGTCCACCACAGCAATAAATACTCACTGTTTACGGTACCTGCTAGTGCATTAATATTATTCAGTCCAACAGTGGCTCCAGCCAGTCCTTGGAGAGTACCCAGAGAAGTCAAAGAATTCATGGCCGCACCAGCTGTGGAATTAGCAGTTGATGCAGCCACTGAAAGGAAAAAAAGCAAAGGAAAATTAAGACAATTAAGTTTGTTTATTTTATTTGATCACAGAGCAGCAGCAGCTTACAATCACACACAGCAGCACAACAGGGCTACTTGCAAGGAGAAGGAAAAAAGAAAATGAGATCAACGAGACCAATCTTGTTGAACACATTAACAGTGTGATTGTTCATGGGAAGTGTTGATGAGCCTAGAACTGCAAATACTAGATCACAAAATTCAGTTCTGTTATTTGCAAATATAATACCAAACCAGTACTTGTGGGATCAGACACTTTCTCAAAAGTTTGTCAATCAATCCAGCAACCCAGGCTGATCAGCTAACCAGGCTTTTGAGATTTTGCCACACACCTCAAAGTCCATCATTACACAAACAAGAATTACTTAGTAATTTTGTCATACAACAGATTACTGTTCTGGGCCCCAAATGTTCTTAGAGTAAGTTAAATTATTCTAAGTGAAGACACTATGATCTAGGACACTGTATAAACTTCATTTAAAGACCTGAAGATTAGAACAAGAAGAACGACCAGGCAAATACAAAAGGTATTTTATTGCAGGCTTTTATCCTGGCCTTTGTACATAGATAGTCAGGTATATGCACCCCTATGATACTTTATGTATCCCCAAAAGCTCTGACAGAGGGGAAGAGATGGAAAAAATGTCCTTGATGCTAGAATGTCAAGGGAATGATGAAGGTGGTGAGATGAATCCATCTAAATTATGTGTTTAGGGAAGAGAAAGAGGCTCACTTGTCATAGAAAGTAGTAAAAAGTCATCATTTGGGATAGGTTGGGTGAACTTGAAATACCTGTCTGTCTCACAGAAGTGCCTTCAATAACCCCTGTAGATTAAACACTTAACTCGTAGGTAAAGGTATACCAGATGAATCACACTCATAAAAGCTGCAGAAGCAATTAAGTTTTTAGTGCATCTCCTGAGCCCTACTTTCATGTATCAGTCATAAAGAATTCCTTTTTTTTTTTTTTTTCTTGTTATAACATTGCATTATCTTAGGAAAAGCAAATATTTAAAGTCAGACTTTTGTTGATGATGTACTGGAAGCACATCATGTCTACAACCAGGCTTTTTTTGCCCCTATTCATTACCTAGCCATGAAATAGTTAAGACCACTTTTATGTGATGCTTTTTTGGGCTGTCAAACACGTCAGATTACTCAGTGAACCCTCAAGAAAGTGAAGTCTCTAGAGCTGACAGGATCCAGTAAGAAAGTAGGAGGTAACTTTTTCACTCTGTGGGTAAACCTTGAAGCTCTAACCTACAAATAACCTGCCTTTGCAACATTAAGACCCACCAAAGACAAGTTTTCACACTCTTGGGGCCTCAAAGTACAAAGAACATTCTTGCTGTGGGGGAAGAGAGATTTCCAGACTCTGGTATGCAGTCCTTGTCTCTTAGCATCTGCGATGTTAACTCGAATAATTTGCTATGTTGCAAACAGAAGCAGCTTTGATTATTCAATCTGTCCCAACAAAGCAATAAGAATCCAATAATGTCTTTGATTAAAAAAGTAATAAAAAAAACCAAGTAAAACCCCCACTTTTTTCAGACAATGTGGGCACCAGCAGACAAAAGAGGAAAAAACCAAAGTGAATTCCCTGTGACCAACATTGGTCTGTGTTTCTGTCAATGCTCATTAGCAAAAGATTTAAATGAAGTATATAAAACTCAAATCTGAAGGATCTGATTAGTTTTGACTGGACTAAATTCCATCCATTTTCTGCTTTAGAGGATTATTACCATTTTCTCTTGAGGAAACACATATAGTTAAGAAATTAGAGAAATGGGGACTAGGAAACTGCCTGTAAATTACATTAAAGCTGGGGGCAAATATCTCCTGTGAACAAGAGCCATATGCTTATGGATTGTCAACACATCTGTTGGAGAAGGCAAAAAAAATCTGCTTAAAACCTCCCCTCTTGTGCAGCCCACAGGGAACTATGGGGGCTCCTATTTCTGGCTGCTCAAACACTTGCTCCAGGGCTGGTCCCCAGTATCTGGGGCCAACATCTCTTCTCCTTCTTTTCTTTTCTTTTCTTTTCTTTTCTTTTCTTTTCTTTTCTTTTCTTTTCTTTTCTTTTCTTTTCTTTTCTTTTCTTTTCTTTTCTTTTCTTTTTTCTATCAAGTTTCTCTATTCCAGCAGGCAAATCAAGAGCAGGTGCCTCAGTATTTCTCCCACTTGAGGCTGCAATGCAGATTATCTAGTTTGCCTGAATAAAGACTTGGCAAATACTCACTGTACAATACTGGGTGAAGCCTAAAGCACCTCAGGAAGGAGTGTTATTTTGTTGGTGTTTCTTCTGCTTAGCAGTGATCTGCCTCATACATGCAATGGGACAATGCTCTTTCCTATTTGGTTTAATATTTCTTTGAGAAGAAAGAAACTGAACACATTGTGTGGTTTCCACCATCTTATTGAACAGGGGGTGAATAGAAATGAAGGGAACTCCTTTTTTTAGGGTGCTTGGAGTGATCAAGCAATCTCTGCATGAGGCTTCCTGAGAGACCCCACACTAATTGATTGAGACCTGTATGTATAAAATAAAGGTGAGGACAATGATGAGCTAAAATATTACCATAAAAGGGCTATAAAAGGTCCAAAATATTAACAGAGGTGAAAATTTCTAACAAAATGCTGTATAAAACCAACAGATGAAGCAATGGCATGCCTTGTCCCCCAGAAATCTAAAGGAAGCTGAAACAAAAGTTAAAAGGTCCTACAAGACAAGTGTGAAGACTTATACCAGCTGAAAGTTTTTACTTTGTGTGCTCTCAGATGAAATCCATCTAGAGACAAGGACTATGCTTCTCCTGTCCTTTGCCATTTTCTAGTTGCTTTCAACTAAAAAATTGTAACATATATTAAACTGAAGGGAAAGAAGAAAAATCACATGCCTTGTGGTAACAGCAAATGACTGCACTACTTTGGGGGAACCTGTATAACTCTCTCGTGTCAGCAAAACTCTCGGGCTCCACAAATGCTCAGAGTAATGGCAAAGGAAGAATAATTCACTGTCAGAATACTTTCTATATTTATGTCTTTTAGTTGTCCAGAAGACAAAAATAGATTGGCTACCTACATAATTTATAAATTGGGTTTTACCAGGTTCCTCTGAAAGCAAATAAATGAAAAAAAGGAAAAAAAAATCCCAACTCCCTCCAGCCTCCACACCAGAACATTCACAGAATCACAGAACATGCTGAGTTTGAAGGAACCCACAAGGATTATCAAGTCCAACTCCTGGCTCTGCACAGGACACCCCAAGAGTCACACCCTGTGCCTGAGAGCATTGTCCAAACACTTCTTGAACTCTGCCAGGCACAGTGCTGTGCCCTGGGGAGCCTGTTCCAGTGCCCAGCCACCCTCTGGGTGAAAAACCTTTTCCTGATATCCAACTTAAACCTCCCCTGTCTCAGCTTCAGGCCATTCCCTCAGCTCCTGTCACTGGGCACCACAGAGAAGAGTTCAGCACCTGCCCCTCCTCTTATTGTGCTTCCTCCATTTAACTGAGAAAATTTTTGTTATCAGCTTCAAGCTTCAAGCCAAGAAACTTGGCCTTTGGTTAATGTATTCATTGGCAGAGTTCTCTTTGGTACAGAGAACACATTTTTATACACATGTTTTAACTAGTAATGCTGCACTCATGGAGGTCTTTAAGGCTGGAAGGAGATGGCAATTTCAAATATTCTCAAACCATTCACTTCTGCCTCTAAATGGCTATAACACCTTTTAGGTTTTTTTTTCTTTTAATTTTTTGAAACAGAAATATGAACTAGCAATTAGCCATTTCTCTTTTAAATTTTAATTTAACTAACACTTCAACACAATTCCTAAAAAAATATGCCAACCTAGAAAAACAACAAGAATTAGCACAGAAACTTCTGGCCATTCTTTTGGCTAGTTTATGTCAATAGAGTCATAATGATTTACATCATCTGGATTTGCCTCAGCTGGAAAACTAAATTCAGGATAACAGCATCTAGGAAAGGCAATGATGTGTAAATATTTCTTTGGCTTTGCTACACACACTGTGGATGGAATTAATTTCCCCACCTTTGGCAGCCTGGTTGTTAGTTTAAGCTAGTCTAGTCAAAACTAGACTGTTTCTGAAATTTAATGGTCTCCAATTCAGACACCCTACCTTTAGATTTCTATTTCAGGTTGGGCTGAATTGTCCTAAAGACCATGTGGATGAGCTCAACTACCAGATGCTACTGGTGCCTTTCCCAGTTTTCCCTCAAGCTTCTTGTGCTGCCCCGGATAAAGCAATTACTATGATTTTTGTTGCAAGACCTGCTAGTTCACAGTTGCTGTCTGTCTTTTAGAAAGCTCTGTCTTGGAGGCACAGGCACATTTCTCTTATTCCTGTTTACTTCCTACACCTCAGACCAAGGAGTGCCCTTTGAAACTACAGACCTATGCTTGTCTGCTTTGACTTGGGCAAATCCCACCCCTCTCATGTCTCAGGCCAGCTGATAAGTGAATCATAGAATCAGACAATGGTTTAAGTTGGAAGGCATTTTTAAAGATCAGCAATGAGTGATCTTCAACCAGAACAGGCTGCTCAAAGTCCCATCCAACCTGACTGTGACTGTTTCCAGGGATGGGGCATCCACAACGTCTCTGTGGATGGGCAATCTGTGCCAGTATCTCACCACCCTCATCATAAAAAAGTTTCTTCCTTGTATCTAGTCTAAATCTACTCTCTTTTAGTTTAAAAGCATTGCCCCTTGTCCTATTTCTGCTGACTCTGCTAAAAGGTTTGTCCTGATCTTTCTTGTAGGCTCACTTCAAGTACTGAAAGGCTTCAATAAAGTCTCCCTGGAGCTTTCTCCAGGCTGAGCAACCCCAACTCCCTCAGCCTTTCCTCATAGGAGAAGTGCTCCATCTCTCTGATCATCTTCAGGAATCCTTTTCCCACAGTGGAGGTCAGGGTCCAGGAAGGCTGCTGAAGACAAAGAACTAC